CTTTCATGATGTCTTTGACAAGACCCAGGACACTGACCACCAAAAAAGCCATTCTGCTTTCCTCCAGGATATGCAGGCTTTACTCTTCAGACCTTACTAAGAAGGGAGAAAAATATTTGCATTCCATGCTTTGAGCATGACAAAGAAAGGCAGGAAAAACTGAAGCTAAGTTTCCATATTAAAGCTTTGGAATACCCATGTCCTGCCCAGAGATGAGGCTGGAGAGGGAGAGTGAAGGCTGGTGGGGAGAACCTTGAATGCCCTTTCTGGGGCCCCTTGTCTGAGGCCATCCTGCTGGTCCTTCAAGGACCCCTCAGATGCTACCTCATCGAGGTTGCATGTGACCTTTGGGCCAAATGACGTTCTTATATTTTTTTTAAATTATAAAATTAGAGACAGGGTCTTCCTGTGTTACCCAGGCTGACCTTAAACTCCTGGGCTCAAGGTCCTCCTTGGCCTCTGCCTCCCAAAGTGCTAGGATTACAGGTGGGCCCCACCGCGCCTGGCCCCAAGTGCCCTTCATCATTGATGTTACCCGCTGGGGTGGAACACTCCAGATAATTTGAAAACATATTTTCCCTGCCCACGTCATAGTAGAGGAGCTGACACGAGCCCATCCCAGGCTTGTCTGTGTTTGAAATTACAGTTTTCTAGTTCTCCCGATACCTATGTAGGTTGCTCCAGTTCAATTCCACTAAAATGACATCATAAAGCTGGGGGATTTGGAAGACTTCCTGACCAATCGAATACAGCGATAAAGTAAGGTGTTACATGCCTTCAGTCAGTTCATGTTGGAACACCATCTAGTCTTTGCCATACTTTGTATAAAATTCTTGCTGGGCGCGGTGGCTCACGCCTGTAATCCCAGCACTTTGGGAGGCCGAGAGGGGCGCATCACTTGAGGTCAGGAGATCACGACCATCCTGGCCAACGTGGTGAAACCCCGTCTCTACTATAAATACAAAAATTAGCTCGGCATGGTGGCGCAAACCTCCCAAGTAGCTGGGACTACAGGCACGTGCCACCACGCCCAGCTAATTTTTGTATTTTAGTAGAGACGAGGTTTCACCACGTTGGCCAGGATGGTCTCGATCTCTTGACCTTGTGATCCGCCCGCCCCTGCCTCCCAAAGTGCTGGGATTACAGGCGTGAGCCACTGCGCCCGGCCACAGTGAGTTTTCTAAAAACATAACCTGACCAGGTATTTCCTGCTTTGAACTCTTGAATGACTCCTCACTGTTCTCATGGAAATAGCCCCGCTCCTTCAGCAGCTGTGACCGCTCACTCTCCTTCAGCACCACTCTCCTCCTCTTTCCTGCAGAAACAGAACCTCCCTGCGTGTTACCTGCTACCTGGCAGATCAGCTAGAGTCTGCATTCCCAAGACTCCCAAGCTAGATGTGGTCACATGATTAAGGTCTGGCCAATGAGGTGTGGGCAGAAATGACATGCGCAACTTCACCGTCTCATCTTTAAAGAGGGAGCTGATGACTCCCCACTTCCGGCTGGTGGGCAATGGCAACAACAGGGGCTGCCACTTTGAATCCGCAGAGGGAAGCCGCGTTGAGGATAGCAGAGCCGAGGCGGGTCTCCGGGCTGTTACATGAAAAATAAAAAAGAAACAAAACAAAACGAACTTCTTTATTTGAGGCACTGCATTTTGCATCCTGGGGTCCCTTTATGATGGCGTGTAACCCTAAATAATCACTAGCCTTCAAGAACGTCTTTGATGCTTCCATGGGTTAACTATCTTTGTTCTATATTCTAACAGCATTCCTGTGCTTTTTTTCTTGTTAACACCCTGATCCATCACATGTATTCAAAGCCTGTTTTCCCTACCATACTAGGAAATCCGTGAAGCCGGAATTATGTCTCCCCGTCCTCCACCGTGATTGGTTCAAAGATAATTTCTTTTTTTTTTTTTTTTTTTTGAGACGGAGTTTCGCTCTTGTTACCCAGGCTGGAGTGCAATGGCACGATCTCGGCTCACCGCAACCTCTGCCTCTTGGGTTCAGGCAATTCTCCTGCCTCAACCTCCTGAGTAGCTGGGATTACAGGCACACACCACCATGCCCGGCTGAATTTTTGTATTTTTAGTAGAGACGGGGTTTCACCATGTTGACCAGGATGGTCTCGATCTGTTGACCTCGTGATCCACCCGCCTCGGCCTCCCAAAGTGCTGGGATTACAGGCTTGAGCCACCGCGCCCGGCCCGATAATTTCTTTTTTTAATCTTTTTTTTTTTTTTTCTGACAGGAGCAGTGGCCAGAAAACGATAACTTATAATTAAATAACGGAATGATGGTGCCGATGAATGAACACATTGAAACAACTTGGATATGAAACGTGCATAGTTTTTCCTGTAAGTAACAGTAATTTAAACAAATATTTTTCTCACATAACCAGAAGTCTGGAAGTAGGTGATTCCATGAGAAACAGCTCGGTGATATGAAAAGCTCTTTGGGTACTTTGATTTTTCTTGGCCCTCCCCTCATAGCTACAAGATGGCTGCAACAGCCCCAGCAATCTTGTCCTTATCTAACTGCACTCTCATCCCAAGAAAGGAGCAGGAAGGAAAAGTAGTCTCCTTCTAGGCTTCTCTCTTTTGGTCAGGGAGGAAAACCTTCTTCAGGATTCCGCCCAGCAGATGCCCCTCATATCTCATTGGCCAGAAATGGGTCACATGGCCACCCTAGGTCACATGGGAAGCTGAGAAAGGGAACTTCTTCCTTCTTCAAGGCCCAGTGGGAATAAATCAGTTCTAAGAGCCCTTGCCCCTCCTTGCCCAGGTGGTCCCATTTGGGAAACCCCAGGGACAATGAGGTATCTCGATGTAGTCACAAATAAAAAGCCATGCCTTGTGCTTGATGCTTGCTGGAGAATGTCGCATTCTGTCTGTTGAAATGCTCTCCCTTGACACTGGCCCACCCAGGCTTTCCCTTGACTCTGCCCATGAGCTCACGTGCTTCAGTACTGTCAGTGATTGTCATCTCTGTGGTCACAGCATATCTACTATTTACCACACCAGCCACATGCCTGGGGATTGAACAAGTTGCATAACCTCTTTGTGCTTCCTTTTCCTCACCTGTAAAATTTGTACTACCTCATGGGATTGTTGTGAGGGTTAAATTAGTTAATACAGACAAAGTGCTTACAACAGTACCTGACCCAAAAGGCTAAATAAATATTTGCTGTTGTGAATTGGTTTTTTTTTCTTCATATTTCCTCAGTTTTCCCTTGAGATCGTGAATTGTTTTTTCTTGTTGTTGTTTTTGCTTTGAGATGGATGTCTTGCTCTGTTGCCTAGGCTGGAGTGCAATGGCACGATCTTGGCTCACTGCAACTTCTGTCCCCCAGGCTCAAGTAATTCTCCTGCCTCAGCTCCCACTAGTAGTTGGGATTACAGGCGAGTGTCACCACGCCCTCCTAATTTTTGTATTTTTAGTAGAGATGGGGTTTCGCCAAGATGTGGTCAGGCTGGTCTTGAACTCCTAATCTCAGGTGATCTGCCTGTCGCAGCCTCGGAAAAGTACTGGGATTACAGGAATGAGCCACCATGCCCGGCTGTGAATTGTTTATATTCCCATTTCACAGACAGGAAAAAAATAACATGTCCAAGGTCATACAGCTGGGGGAACAGTCAAAGCCTGTTTTTTCCAACTCCAGAGCCCATAGCCTTTCTTCTCTTACCGCCAGGCCTTGCTGTGCCTGCAAGTTTCTCCTGAGTGTCTCAAAGGTGGGATGTCTTGCCACAAACACTATTTATTAATTCACTAATCCACCTCCTCCTGGAAGCCTTCCGGGGCACACGTGCTCTCTGCCCCTCACTGGCACTGGAAAGGCCCTTCTGGAGAACATGAGGAGCTTCCTCTTCTCTTTTCTGGAGGGCTGGGAATGTCAGTTGTGCCTGCTGCTGTGGTCAGCCGCAAAGACACAAAGCCATCCTCTAGAGATGTCCAGTCCTGATGGACACTGAAGGCCAGGAAAGGCATTCCCTCCTGGTCAGACAACCAAGTACTAGGGGAGCCATGACTGGAACTCAGGCCTCCAGGCTCACTCCCCAGCGCCCATTCCCTGCTCCCGGCTTCCTCCGTGTGAGCATTCCGCAGAGACAGCGGCTCATCCAAAGGAGACCCTTACTCACGGTAGGGCCAGGAATGGGGCTTGCCTGGGAGATCCTGGCCTGAGCATAAAAGTGGAGACCATGCCTTACTCATCCCTGACCCTCCACCCCGACTCTGGCTCCTACCCGGCCCAGCCTCATCCCCTGCAGAGAAATGCAGACTGTAGCCTGGAGTGCCTGAGTGCCTGTAATACACAGATTGTGACAATAGAGGGCAGGCTTGCTGCTCTAATCTTTGTGATCACAAAGGCTTTTAAGAAGCCTCCACTAGATTGATGATGATGATGACTGGTGGTGGTGGTTGAGGCTACTATTTATTGAGTCAAGATGATTTATCATCTCTAACCAGCAGGTCTTTCTGTGCATACCACGTTCTGCTGTGTTCTGAATCTCAGAAAATGGACCACCTCCACCCAGTTACCCAAGCCTGAAACCTGGGCATCACCATCAGTTTCTTCCTCCCTCCCTCTCTCCACTCTGCCACCTATTCCTGTCCATTCTATATCCTAAATCTGGTCCCATCCCCATCTCTGCAGTCCCACAGTTTGTTCTTCTCCTCCAACTTTCCATTTGATTTACGGAGAGCCACAGGCTCCTGCCTCAGGCCATCATGCAGGCCAGTGGTTCCTGAACTTTGCTGCACATTGGAATTATCTAGGGAGCCTCAAAAACTCCAGCTGTCGACGCCACACATCAGACCAATGAAGTCAGGATGTCTGGGGGTGGAAGCCAGGCATTAGCACTTTTTTTTTTTTTTTTTTTTTTTGAGACAGAGTCTCACTCTATCACCAGGCTGGAGTGCAGTGGTGTGATCCCAGCAACTTCCGTGTTCTGGTTTCAAGCAATTCTGCCTCAGCCTCCCAAGGAGCTGGGACTACAGGCACAGACTACCACGCCCAGCTAATTTTTTGTACTTTTAGTAGAGGTGGGGTTTTACCACGTTGGCCAGGATGGTCTCGATCTCTTGACCTCGTGATCTGCCCACCTCGGCCTCCCAAAGTGCTGGATTACAGGCGTACGCCACGGCACCCGGCTGCATTAGCACTTTTTAAAACTCCCCAGACAGTTCCAGTTTGCAGCCAAGTTTAGGCACCACTGCGCCCCCTGTCTGAGACTCTCTTCCATGCCTTTTTATCTGGGCAACGCGAAATCAGGCAGGTCTCTAATATTGCTGCGGAGCCTGGACAGCACAGAGCCATCGACTGCTCTTCCCACGGCTACACGTAGCACGCTGCACTGTGACTGCTTTTTCTTCTTCTTTTTTTTTTTGAGATGGAATTTTGCTCTTTTTGCTCAGGCTGGAGTGCAATGGCCTGATGTCAGTTCACTGCAACCTCTGCCTCAGCCTCCTGAGTAGCTGGGATTACAGGCATGTACCACCACACCCAGCTAATTTTGTGTTTTTAGTAGAGATAGCGTTTCTCTGTGTAGAGCAGGCTGGTCTCGAACTCCCAACCTCAGGTGATCTGCCCGCCCCCACCTCCCAAAGTGCTGGGATTACAGGCGGGAGCCACCATGCCTCGTGTATAAGTTTTTTTCTTCAGACACCTGCCTTCTCTACCCCTCACCTCAGTCCTCCCTCCACTGAGAGAAACAACTGGCCTCCCTCCATGTATGTTTGCATGTATGTGCAAACACAGGAGTGAAAGACATCTTTACAAGAACACAAGAAGGGAATTCTATCACTCTTAGCAATTTTGAATTGTACCCCAGGTTTTAATTTTTGCAATGGTCTGTTTACAGTGCTAAAAGCAGAGAGAGACACATTTTCTTTTCAAATATGGGTGTAGATTTAAAAACACCTGTACTTAATAGTCTCAAAGCCATCTTGTTCTCTTTTCTACTTGAAATTTCCAAGCTGTGGCTAATCCTTGCCCACGGACCTTGACACTATGGAAAATAGCCCCAAATGCTTATGGTATATGGAAAACCAAAACTAAAACAACAATTTTAACCAGGAGGTGAAAGCAGGAGGCAGATGGGCTGAGTTAACCCACAAGTGTCTGTGGCTGGGGGTCCTGCCTGTGCTGGGGTAGGGGTGGACAGTGATACAGGGTTTATCTCTAGGGGCTGGAGCCCAGTGTTGTCTCTCCTATAGGGGCTGTACAGGTCAATGTCCCGTTTTGTGAAGTAAGAAACCCAGAGAAAAAGCTAAATGAATTGCCCACGATCCCATTACTCATAAGTAATAGAGGGAAAATGCAAACTTAGCTTTAACTGACTATCCATATTCTTTCTAGTATATCAGGATGGGTCAAAGTTCCAGAGCTGGCTGGGTGCGGTGGCTCATGCCTATAATTCCAGCACTTTGAGAGGTGGAGGAGCCTGGATCACTTGAGGTCAGGAGTTCAAGACAAGCCTGGCCAACATGGTGAAACCCTGCCTCTACTAAAAATACAAATATTAGCCTTACGTGGTGGCATGTACCTGTAGTCCCAGCTACTCAGGAGGCTGAGGCAGGAGAATCTCTTGAACCTGGGAGGTGGAGGTTGCGGTGAACCAAGATTGAGTTACTGTGCTCCAGCCTGGGCAACAAAAGCGAAAATCTGCCTCAACAACAAAAAAAATGTTCCAGAGCTGCTTTCACTTCACTCTTTAATTTTGCTTAATATAATCTTTATTGAAGTGATATATTTATATAGTTTAAGAGTCAAATAATATCATAAGACTAATAGCAACAAAAAGTAGTCTCCTCTAAAACTTCCCTAATCTTAATTCCTATCCCCAGAGGCAATTGATTTCAATTATTTTAGTCAGTTTTTCTGGAATTTATATCCATATTAAACATAATAACATTATTATTTCTTTCTTCTTTAATAGTTAAAAACTTTTTTTTTTTTTTTTTTTTTTTATTTTTTTTTTTACTTTTTTTTTTTTTTTTTTTTTTTTTTTTTTTTTTTTTTTTTTGAGTCAGAGTCTCTGTTACCCCGGCTGGAGTGCAGTGGCGTGATGATAGCTTACTGCATCTTTGAACTCCCAGGCTCAAGCGATCCTCCTGCCTCAGCCACCTGAGTACCTAATACTACAGGCATCTGCCACTGCACCCAGCTAATTTTTAAAAATGTTTCAAAGAGATGAGGTCTCAGTATGTTGCCCCAGCTGGTCTGGATCTCCTGGGCTAAAATGATCCTCCCACCTCAGCCTCATTCATGTTGTGGCTAATGGCGAGATCTCGTTCCTTTTTAGGGTTGAATGTGTGTGTGTGTGTGTGTGTGTGTGTGTGTACATATATATGTGTATATATATGTATATGTTGTATACATGTACCAGTTTCTTTATTCATTCATCTGTGGACAGACACTTGGGTTGTTTCCATACCTTGGCTATGGTGAATAATGATGCAATAAACATGGGAGTGCCGATATCTTTATGAGGTGGTGATTTCACTTCCTTTGTGTATATTCCCAGAAGAGGGATTGCTGAGTTATATGGTAGCTGTATTAGTCCATGTTCATATTGCTATAAAGAACTACCTGAGACTTGATAATTTATAAAGAAAAGAGGGTTAGTTGACCCACAGTTCCGCATAGACTGTCCAGGAAGCATGGCTGGGGAGGCCTCAGGAAACTTACAATCATGTCATGGCAGAAGGCGAAGGGAAAGCAAGCACATCCTACGTGTCTGGAGAAGGAGGAAGAGAATGAAGGGGGAGGTGTTACACACTTTTTCAACAACCAGATCTCATGAAAACTCACTATCATGCAAACAGCAACAGGAAAACCTGCCCCCATGATCCAGTCACCTCCCACCAGGCCCTTCTTCCAATGATGGGGATTATAATTTGACACGAGAGTTGGGGAGGGACACAAATCCAAACCATATCAGTAGCATTCATTTAGATTTAACTATATCTATTGCTCACTACTCTCTTCTCTTTGTCTTCCCCCATCTTGAGATTTCTGCTCTGATTTAAATTGCCATTTGAGGCCACACAGTGGCTCGTGTTATGGGATCCTCGAAGGTGCTGCTTCGTCAACCAGAAACCTCTGTGGCTGGCGGTGCCTTTGCCTGAGTTTTGCTTGGGCCCACTGGGCTCCTTCCACCCACTTGGCCTGGCAGGCTGCACATCACTTATGCTACTGGCCTGGACCCCATGCCTTCCAAGGGTGAGCCAGGCACAGAGCAGTACAGGGTGAGTGAGCAAGTGAGCATGGGGTCTGACCACTATACACAGCCAGTTATGCCAGCTGTGGTGGGGGTGGGGGCAGCTGCAGGCACTAGCATGGATGCTGGCTCCCTGCGAGGCTGCAGTTGGACCAGGCATACCTCAAGTGACTTCCACTGCAGGCACCTGGGAATGCAGTGGTGCCTGGAAGCTTGAGACACCAGGAACCACAGAGCCCCAGGAGGCCTCCTGCCGTCATCTATATGTCATCCATGACACCCAGGCTGCTCCTGCTGAGGCCTGGCAGGCCAGCAGGCTCATACCAAACCACCCTCAGCCCACCTCAGCCTCCCTCCCATGTGTATTCATTCAAAGAGGGCATCACAGCCCTGGCTTGGGGAGCTCCTAGGTCTGGGCTCCCCAAAGGGCTGCAGCTCTTCCCTCCTTCTTGTCATCCACAATGTGGCAATCCAGGGGGTGGGTGTGTTTCAGCCCTATTCGTGTTATAGCTCTTTCAGTCCTGCCATTTGACTGGGTCCTGAGTTCTTGTCCTGTGTCCAGGAAGAATGAGGTACATGGCCAACTGGAGAGTGAGCAAGGTGAAGAGGTGATTTATTGAGCAATGGTCCAGCTCTCAGGAGACCTAGGTTGTCCCAACGAGTGCAGCTCTCAGCAGAGAGGAGATCTGGAGTAGCTCCTACCCACAGTCTGTGAGTCTGGTCGAGTCCAGGGTTTTTATGGGCTTCAGAAGGGAGGAAGTGTGTGCTGATTGGTTCATGGGCAGCCATGAGTGGGCCTGGAGAAAACACCATTAAGTTCTCACTCTGGACCGTGGACTATACCCTGGCCCCATGCTTTAGGCCTTCCCTGGCTTGAATGTGGGGCTTCACTGGGGACCTGACCCTTTTCACCCAGGAGCCTGTGGGCCTCCTGCCGTCATTTACATGTCATCCATGGCACCCAGGCTGTTCCTGCTGAGGCCTGGCAGGCCAGCAGGCTCATACCAAACCACCCTCGGCCCCACCTCAGCCTCCCTCCCATCCTTATTCATGCCCAGAGTCTGGAGGGAGCTGAGGCGGCAGGGGGCCAGCATGTCAGCACTGCCCCAAGCATGCACACACCCGGTTGGGTCAGGAGAGTACCCGGACTTGGCCACAACTTTGCTTTGAAATTGGAGCGGGCACTGGGAGCAGGAAGTGCCAGGCAGTGGGAGCAGGCACTTCGGAGCCTGCAGGGGCAGGGGGCTTCCCCAGCTCCCCAGAGTGCAGGGATGCCCAGTCTGTAGCTACAGCTGGGTGGCTGCAGCTGTGCTTAGGATGGCAGGGCTCCCACCTCGCCAACTCAGAAGGAGGCAGGGCTCTCATCTGTTCCCAGCTCCCACCAGCTCTGTGGAGCATGTAGCCCTGGCTGTGCCTCCATTGCAGCTGGCATCTTCACAGCAGCTGCTCCAGAAGGGCCACCACTGCCATCACTCATGCCCGTCTCAGCACTTCGGCAGGCTGAGGTGGGATCACTGGAGCCTAGGAGCTCGCTTGAGACCAGTCTGGGCAACATGGTGAAACCTTATCTCTACAAAAGTTACAAAACATTAGCCAGGTGTGGTGGCATGTGCCTGTGGTCCCAGCTACTCGGGAGGCTGAGGTGGGAGGATCGCTTGAGCTCTGGAAGTGGAGGCTGCAGTGAGCTGAGATTGTACCACTGTACTCCAGCTTGGGTGACAGAGTGAGTGCCTGTCTCAAAAACAATTAATTATTTAATTACTTGTCATTTGGTTAGAGTCCTTCCTGGAGTATTCTACTTATGTATGATAGGCACATGCATAGTATTATGTCACATCCTGCATGTCCAAAAATGTTTTCTTTTATCCTTCAGATGAATAATAGCTTGACTGGATATACATTTTTAGATCATGGTTATTTTCTCTCAATAATCTATCGATATTGTTTCTCTGTCTTCTAGTGTTAAGAGTTAAAAATAAAAAATCTAACGCGTATCTGATACTCTTTTATTTACGGAACGTGTTATTTCTGCAGGAAGATAGATTTTTCTGTTTCATCTCTTTTTATCATAAGTATTCAGAAATTCTCCAGTTTATACCATTGGTTTAAGAGTATAGGTTTTATTTAAATATGCCAGATACTCAGTGACTCCTTTCAATGCGAACACTGTTTTTCTTTACCACAGGGAACTTTAATCAGTTCTTCAATTATTACTTCTCATATTAGGGATACTTTCAGATGCAAGAGCAGAAATTTTGAGTTAAAAAAAAATGACTTGGACAAATAGGTACTTATTTCGCTTACTTTAGAAGCCCAGAGGCCAGGCATGGTAGTTTATACTTTATTTTTTTTTGAGACAGAATTTTGCTCTTTTTGACTAGGCTGGAGTACAGTGTCAGGTTCTTGACACTGATCTTGGCTCAATGCAACCTCCACCTCTCGGGTTCATGCGATTCTTCTGTCTCAGCCTCAGCCTCCCCAGTAGCTGGGATTACAGGCCCCTGCTACCATGCCTGGCTAAGTTTTTGTATTTTTAGTAGAGACGAGGTTTTGCCATATTGGGCAGGCTGGTCTTCAACTCCTGACCTCAGGTGATCCGCCCACTTCGGCCTCCCAAAGTGCTGGGATTACAGGAGGGCTTACACTTTTAATCCCAGCACTTTGGGAGGCAGAGACGGGAGGATAGCCTGATACCAGGAGTTCAAGACCAATGTAGGCAACATAGAGAGACTTGGTCTTTTTACAAAAAAATTTAAAAATTAACCAGGCATGGTGGTGCATGCCTGTGGTCCCAGCTACTCAGGAGGCTGAGGAGGGAAGGATCACGTATGCCTGAGACATTGAGGCTGTAGTGAGCTGGGATCATGTCACTGCACTCCAGCCTGAGTGACCGAGGGAGACCCTGTCTCAAACACCAAAAGCAGCCTAGAGACACAGCTGCTGGCTTTGGTTCAATTATTCAACAATGCCAGGGTTTGGGTTGGTATCTCTCTGATTCTCTTGGCCTCTCCCTTGTGCTCACAGAATGGCTGCTGCAGCTCCGGGTATCATGCTTGCATTCAAGGTAGGAAGAAAAGAGGAAAAGTCCTGCACCAATTGCATATGCATTTTATATTTTTTAAGAACCCAGAAAATCTTACTGGAAGCTTATGTCCCATTGGCCAGAACTGCATCATCCAGCAAGGAGAGCTGATAATGAGTATATTTTACTCTTCCAGTCTCCATGGCGGAGTTAGAGAAGAGAGCAGGTGGGAATGGGGTTGTGTAGCCAACAGCACCTGCCACATTTCTTCTTCTTGGATTTGGCCTCCACATCTCCTCTTTCTTTCTGATTTCCACCTCATTGTGTTTTTGCTCTGTACTGTAAGATGTCTGTCTCACAGTATCTTCCCGACCACTGATTCAATCCTCCGCGTTGACTGTCTTCTAATGAATTGCTATATTTGAAAGTCATACATTTTAGTTTGCAGGAATCTTTTTGACTGTGCTCTGATCACATCCTGTGAATTCCCATACCCTTTTCCCCCCCTATTCTTTGAGGTCCTCTTCTGCCTTCCCTACTAGTTCACTTAGGGCTTCCTCCTTCAAGTTACTGAGTCCTTTTAAACAGGTGCAGTTTTTCTTTACTTGCTCATGTTTTTTCCTCTTGGTCCCCCATAGGGACAAGGCTGTTGATATTTCTAGAGTAGGGCAAACCCAGTAAGTGCTGGAAGACCATTTGCCTTGTGCATTCTTGGGCCCATAGCAAGGAAAAGGTCTGGCAAACTGTCACTTTTTTTGTTTTGTTTTTTGTTTTTTTAAGACAGAGTCTCACTCTGTCACCCAGGCTGGAGTGCAGTGGCACAATCGTGGCTCACTGCAACCTCTGCCCCCATGGTTTAAGTGATTCTCCTGCCTCAGCCTCCCGAGTAGCTGGGATTACAGGTGCCCGCCACCATGCCTGGCTAATTTTTTTGTATTTTAGTAGAGATGGGGTTTCACCATCTTGGCCAGGCTGGTCTTGAACTTCTGACCTTGTGATCCACCCATCTCGGCCTCCCAAAGTGCTGGGATTACTGGCGAGCCACCGCGCCCAGCAAACTGTCACTTCTTCACTCTCTCATCCCAGTTGTCCTCAGACTCTCATGACCAGCTGGGATCCATCAGTTGGCGAGTGCAGTTCCCCCCGGTCCACAGAGGTCAGGTGGGTAGTGGCCCCAGCGACCACACATAGCCTGCAGCAGAAGCAGCCCCTCCCCGAGAAGAGTTCTGCTGGTGGCGTCCTCTCCAGTCACCAGAGATTCCCTGCCATCTGATACTGAAAGGAGGACGTGCCTTCTCTCTGGCCACTGGCCTTTTAGCTTTTGTTCAGGAGACAGAAGCCCAAATTCTTGTCCTTGGAGATGTAGGAGCTCTCCTGGGCTTCAGGTGCATCTCCAGGCTTCCTGATTATGTTACTCAAAGAGTGAGTGAACTGACAGGGTGAGGGACATAGGCACTTAACTTGGAACTTTCAGGATCACTGGAGCCATATTTATAAATGTTTGACTTTGGCTGAACCCCTCGATATTTGCTGTGCAAACATGTTGTAAATCCAAGTACATCTTTCCTGTTGGCTAAAAAGGGCCTAGCAAGGCTTCTTTGGAGGCATTCTGTCAGCAGTTTGATGGAATTAGATGAGTGGTTTCAAACAGTGGGTTGTGACTACAGTTCAAACAAAAGGAGTGCATAGAAAATGAAAGAATGCATCACGTGGTAAGGGTGAGTTTGTTTCAGGCTCAGTTATGTGATTCGTATGCACATTGGCTACAGTATGTCACACATTTCTGGGTAATGTTAAAAACATATGAGCAATGCTAAGTTAGAGGACAGTCTAGGGGCAGTTGACGTGGCTTCCCAAGAGAGTGAAATTGGAGGGAGTTTAGATGCTTTACTAAAAGAAGTCTAGGATCCCTCTACCCCCAGCTGACTTTAATTACAAGGTATCCTCACAGCAGTTACACTACACTATAACTAAGCACTAAATAGTGGGTGAAACTGTGCACCAGCAGCCCCCAGCAGTGGTCTTTCCCCTGCCCCCCGACTTCCGTCCCCCAGGAATGCGGGCTGACTTGGTTTCTCTGCAGTCGTTGTGAAATGCTCAGGGCTGTTTGCTCTGGCAGAGTGAGAAACTGGGCAAAAAAATCTGAGACTGTCTCCTTCTGCGTAAGCCGGGGAGAATCCTTCCTGCCTTTTTCTCCATGCAGAGTGATGATGACCTGTGAGAAAGAAAACCAATGATTCAGTCCACACATGTTGTAACAAGATGACATTTTGTTAATGAAGGGCCTTCTGTTTTTTCTGAACAAGGCTGAGAGGGATTTGGAAGATAGAAAGTAGGTGCAAGATAGAAAGTAGGTGCTGCCGCTGAGCTGAGCTCAGTAAACAGGAAAGAGGAAGTTAAAATGCCCCAAGGGAAAATATAGGAAGTGGGAGAAAGCAGCCAGGAAGTCTGGGAGCAGAGAACTGACCCCTTCCGGAGACCCAACAAGACTGTCATCAAACGGTAACTGAATTTCAGGGGGAAGCCTGGGGAAGCACAGAATTCTGCTGAATTCTGCTGAATAAGTCTGCTGCTGCCAGAAGTCTGAGGTGGGGTGCGGGAGAGTCAGCCCTCATGGCTGAGGGGACAGCTGGCTTCCATGTTTAATTAGCACCTACATATGTCCGGAACCCCCAGGCACCCAGACACTGGGGCGGTATCTGGAAGTAAGACGGTCTTTTCCATCCATAGTGCCGGCAATCCAGCAAGGAAGGGGGCACTCTCCAAGTAAATCTGCCTGTGGGAAGTGCTCTGACATGTGAGGTGAAGGTGCTTTGTCAACTGCAAACTGTGAAATCCACCTTTAAGGGTTGCTGGCGTCCTGTAGCAACCAGCACATGGCCAGACTCTGTGGCTCGTTGACTGCTGCTCATTAACCAGCAGATCCAAGTGTGTTTTTGAGTGTAAAAGCCTCCCAGCCCTTTGTCTGCCCACCTCCCTCTGTAGCCACAGGCTCAAGTCCAGACCCCATTTCAGTGTCCCCTCATCCTCCATCCTTGGTACCCTCGACTGCCCTGGGAGCCCAGCTGACTCCTCTGAGACTCCCCTCCCCCAGCAGCATGCAGCCCTTCCCAGAGCAGCTGCCCTGCCCTCCTGAGTGACAGGTGGAGCTGCTTGGGGCATGATGCCCTGGCACCAAGGCAACCAACCTCTTCCAGTGTGAGTCAGGCAGGCCTGGTCCAACATCTCATCAGCCAGTGCTCCCCAGCTGCTTCCCGGAATGCCTGGCTGAACCCTAACAAGGCCAGCCTCTGCAGGCAGATGGCTCTGAGACTCTTCCTCTGTCAAAGCTCTGCAAGATGGCTGAGTGTAGTGACTCACGCCTATAATCCCAACACTTTGGGAGCCCGAGGCAGGTGGATCACCTGAGGTCATGAGTTCGAGACCAGCCTGCCCAACATGGCAAAACCCCATCTCTACTAAAAATAAAAAATTAGCCAGTTGTAGTGGCAGGCACTTGGGAGGCTGAGGCAGGAGAAGCTCTTGAGCCTGGGAGGCAGAGGTTGCAGTGAGCTGAAATCGCACCACTATTGCACTCCAGCCTGGGCCACAGAGAGACTTTGTCAAAAAAAAAAAAGCTCTGCAAGACCAGCTTGGAGTCTCCTCGGCTGGAAGGGCCCCTCTCCTGTGGAGACAAGAGACGTGAATGGCATTTTCTCAGCCTGCCAGCCCCTTGGCATTGGCCACTTACAAGAATCTCTGGCTGAGCACAGTGGCTCACACTTGTAATCCCAGCACTTTGGGAGGCCTAGGCGGGCGGATCATGAGGTCAGGAGTTCGAGACCAGCCTGGCCAACATAGTGAAACGCCGTCTCTACTAAATATACAAAAATTAGCTAGAAATGGTGGCACATGCCTGTAATCCCAGCTACGCAGGAGGCTGAGGCAGGAGAATCGCTTGAACCCGGGAGGTGGAGGTTGTGGTGAGCCGAGATCATGCCACTGCACTTCAGCCTGGGCAACAGAGGGAGACTTCGTCTAAAAAAAAAGAATCTCTTAATTGGAAAATGTGCAAAGGATAAAAACAGGAAATTTGCAGAACTGTATATACTCAACCTGACTAATCATCATAGACATGAACATTAAACAGGATATTTTTCATGTAGAAAACATTTTATTGTGCAATACAGCACATAAATAGAAGAGGACACAAACTTAAATATATAGCTGTGAGCAACACGCCACCCTCTTTTAGCTTGAGTTTCTCTGTCCATTCATGCGGATGTTGGACACAATCATGTCTAAAGATCCTCCCAGCCCTGGGACTTCTTGAATCACCACTACTGTCAGTCTTGGTTTAATGCTATTTCCCTCGATGACCTGGGGAAATAGTCGAACCTGTTTTCTCATTTGTAATTGGGCATACAAATAGCTATCCGTGGCCAGGTGTGGTGGCTCACGCCTGTAATCCAAGCACTTTGGAGGTCAAGGCGGGCGGATTACCTGAGTTTGGGAGTTCAAGACCAGCTTGACCAACACGGTGAAACCCTGTCTTAAAACAAACAAACAAACAACAACAACAACAACAAAAAATAGCTATCTGCCTGCCTCACAGCACTGATTTAGGTGTCTCCAAAAAGATTTTAAAGACAATTTTTAGGTATAATAAACTATCAAGCAATACAAAAAATTTTGACAAAGAAAGCCAGTCAGAAGGCAGATGCCTTACAAGGGTAGATGCCAAGCACAGGGCCAGCCCTGGACTGTGAGGAAGGGAAGTGGCCCTGGGGTTCTCTGAGGCTTTGCCCTGTAGGTGAGGGAAGGTTTTCTCTCTACTCTCTGAGGGCTTCACACACACACACACACACACACACATGCGCGCGCACACACGCACACACACATATATGTACACACACACACACATGCACACACACATACACATATACTGCCAAGAAATGAACAAGTCCCAAAGGATGTGCAGTTGCACCTGGGGTCCAGGCTGGGAAACTAGTCATATGGGAGAAGAGTGGACATCTGCATTTCTCTCTCTCTCTTTTTTTTTTAGACAGAGTCTCCCTCTGTTGCCCAGGCTGGAGTGCAGTGGCGGGATCTCGGCTCACTGCAACCCCCTCCTCCCGGGTTCAAGCGATTCTCCTACCTCAGCCTCCAGAGTGAGATTATAGGCACCAGCCACCAGGCCTGGCTAATTTTTGTATTTTTAGCAGAGACCGGATTCCACCAGGTTGACCAGGCTGGCCTCAAGCTCCTGACCTCAAATGATCCACCTGCCTCGGCCTCCCAAAGTGCTGGGATTACAGGCATGAGCCACTGGACATCTGCATTTATTATTTGAAGAGAAATTCCTTCCACCTTCTTCTCAAAACAGCCCCCTTTCATAGAGGTGGGACCTCATCCCTGCAAATGGAGGGGTAGTATGTTTTGGGAAAAAAGGTTTTATGATATTGAACTTACTGTTGTGTTCCACCCCACATACCTTCCCCACTACATCGTGAAACGGCTCAGCACCCCATGCTTAGTGACCCGCTAGCCTCCCCAACTCACGTACCCCACCATCACCGAGGGGCAGTGCACAATCAGAACCTGTTGCCTCAAAAAGGCTCACAGGACACAGTAGAACTCTAGCAGACTCTGCCAGCTTGTGACTGCATTTGAGCCCTGGGACCCCAGCCTGGAGTGACCATCTCCTGCAGCATATACCTACTTGCCAGATTCAGGACCCTCTAGTTTGGTTCTCTGTCATCTGGCCTGGGCCACTGTCCCTAGGACTCCCCAGAGGTCTGCTTCTGAAGGCTGAAGATAGTTCCTCTGTGGGCTCCATAGTTGCCACACACCTGCTGGTCTCACCTCTCTGCTCCACTAGCAGTGCTGGCGATAAAGGCCCAGAAAGCCTGCTGAAGTCTCAGAACTTAAAGAACCTGACTTATGTCCCACTTCCACCCCCAAACACACAGACAGTGAGGCTCTCACTCACTCGGAGTACGAAGAGCAGTTCCCAGCACACACCATACCTTTCCACGCTCACTGCATGGCTATGCCAATCACTCAGTAACAGTCACTGTGGTTGGTCTGTTAGGTCATCAACATATGCCTGAGGCTATCCACTCTCCCCAGCTGGTGGTGAGGGGCAGCCTTTCAGCAGGGACAGCCGGGGACAGGAGGAAGGACAGGAATCCTGGGGTGGAGGCTGCAAGGAGGACTGTTCAGTAGCCAAGGGTAGCGATGGGCCCTGGGATGCATGGAGGAGGACCTCGGCAGTCGGCCTTCTGTGGGGACAGTGGTGAGGGCTGGGGAAAGGAAGCCAGAAGGAGCAGGGCTTTTAGGCAGCTCTTCAGGGGATTTCCAGAACAGGAGCTGCTGGGGTGACCCAGGCCCTTCTGAATAATGAGCATTTTGCATGTCCTTGGAGGCTGTTGTCTTGAATCCCCTTGAGCCCAAAGTCACTAATGTGTGCCCATGACCCCATGCAGGACCCTAAGAGGTATGATCATAGCCTAGTCTGGTTGGTTGACAATCACTGCAGAATAAGTTGTGTAATTTGCAAAGTCAAGAACAAAATATAAATAATCACTGTTGTCTTTAATTTTCCTCTTGAGTATAGCGCAAGAAACTTTGAGGAGGTTGCTTTGAACTTCAGAAGAATTAGTAACTAGTGCCATGGGACAGCATTTCCCAAAGTACATTTCAAGATATGCTAGTTCCTTGAGATGTTAATAGCTGCTGTGTGGGGAAAATGTTGTGTCCTCAAATACAGTTGAGAGAGGCTACGTACCCTCATTCCCTCATTCCCTCTTAGAGATACACAACTGTATCCATTCTAGGTGGTAGAGAGATACTACTGTATCTGTTCTCACCAAAGGCTATGAAGAAGTTCTGCAGTGTTTCCCAGATTTATGTAATGGATCCTTAAAACACACACACACACACACACACACACACACACACACTTAAAATCTCTTGGAACTGCTATTTTGCAGCAACCTACAATAACTCCATGTAAAGTCTCAACTCCAAAAGTCAATATTTGAGCTGAGCGTATTGTTCCAATTTGCTTTGTAGCCACTTAGTTAAATCATTTCATTCTAATGTAGCTGGGGCTACAACTGCATTGAAGTAAAAAGCACATTGCTTGCTGGGTCAGAGAGCACTTTAACTTTTTAATGAAGAAAAATCAGTTTACTTCTCTGAACTTCAGTTTCCTCATTTGCCAAATTCCATGGGTTGTGAGATTAAGAGGTAATTATGTGAAAGCTCCCAGCTCAATGCCTGATGCTAAATAAATAACTGGGTAGAGAATGAATATAGAACCTTGAAAGCTGAAAGACAGAAGTCATGGAAAACTTGGATGACTGAAGTCCTTTTTCTTTTTCTCCTTTCCTTTCTCCTGTCTCTCCTCTCCTCTCTTCTCCTTTCTTCCCTCCCTCCCTCCCTCTCTCTCTCTTTTTCTATTTCTCTCTCTCTCTCTCTCTCTCTCTCTCTCTCTCGTTTTTTAGAGATGAGGTCTCCCTATGTTTCCCAGGCTGGTGTCAAACTCCTGACCTCAAGTGACCATCCTGCCTCAGCCTCCCAAAGTGTTGGGATTACAGGCTCGAGCCACTGTGCCCAGCGAAGTCCCTTTTCTTTCCCTCTTTCTTTCTTTCCTACTTTCTTTCTTCCTATTTTTAACTCACCACTCTACTAATGAGGATGAAGTCCCATTTCAAGAATAAATATATAGATTCAAAATTACAGTATTTGAGGGGAAGAACTAGAGGAAGAGGAAAGAAGGGGATGGGTATTTGAATTTCTTTCTTTCTTTTTTTTTTTTTTTTTTTAAGGATCTATGAGGTCAAGCATGGTGGCTCAGGCCTGTAATCCCAGCACTTTTGGAGGCTGAGGCTGGTGGATCACGAGGTCAGGAGTTCGAGACCAGCCTGGTCTTGATGGTGAAACCCCGTCTCTACTAAAAATACAAAAATTAACTGTGTACAGTGGTACATTCCTGTAATCCCAGCTACTTGGGAGGCTGAGGCGGAAGAATTGCTTGAACCCTGGAGGCAGAGGTGACAGCGAGCTGAGATCCCACCAGTGCACTCTAGACTGGCGGAGAGAGCAAGACTCCAACTCAAATAATAATAAAAAAAGGATCTATGAATGTAACAGTCAGCTTTTGCTGTAAAACAAATTACCCCAGAATTTAGTGCCTTAACACAACAATCATGCATTAGTTCATGAATCTGTGGGTTGACAAATTTGGGCTGGGCTCAGCTGGGTGGTTCTGCTAGTCTTGCCTGGATCTATTCACATGGATTTAGTTAGGTGTTGGGTTGATGGGCTGGATGGGCTAAGATCGTTTCGCTCACACGTCAGGCAGTTAGTGGCTGTCAGCAAGGAGCCATGGCTCTGCTTCATGTGGTATCTCTAGCAGGCTAGCTCAGAATTGTTCTTATGACAAGTCAAGACATCTGATTTCTAGGCTTAGAACTCAAACCTCACTTCCATCACATTCTATTGGTGAAAACAAGTCAGAAGTGCAGCACAGATTCACAAGGTGGGGAAATAGTTTCTACCTCTTGTTGGAAGACGCTGTAAGGAGTTCATGGTCATTTAAAATCTCCCACACGGAGATTACTCTTGTATATTTGGTGGGTTGGGAAGAAGTGCATGTGCAAACTCCCTTGTGAATGTTTTCACAACTGCTTGAAGGAGTGTCTTCTTCCGCGTGTTTTCTGTACTTGGTTCCTCTACTTCTTGCTGTTTCTCTCC